AATGTTCCAGTAGTGGCAACATTCATGTATGTGTATAATAATAATATAATATAATATAATAATTTCCCTTGTTGAAATTCAGTTGGCACTAAAGCCTCTAGCAAACTTTTTGTTACTACTTCTAGTATACACAAGCTGATCTTCATTCTTCTTATTGTTTGTCTCCATCTCTCTCTCTCTCTGTATTATGTTGTATTTACTTAAATATTGGCACTATTATCGATATAACTGAATTAATTACGAAAATATCACGTATAACAGAAAGCACAGAACAATGACCTTAGTTAATTATAACTTATGTGTAAGCACTATCAGTTAGTTGAACAAATGATTTAGAAAAGTTTAACTTCATTTTTGATCGATTAAAAACACGATCGGTAAAATGATGTATTTTCACTACTTTTATCGACCGGTCTATACTACTGAAAACGGTAGTGAAAGCAAGTCATGCTTAGTTAAACAAGTAGCTAATTATTTTTGTTATTTACAAAAATGTGGATGTTAGTAAATTTTTTCTAGTTGTCCAGTAATTCGACATTTTCGTCGGTCATGTAAGATAATAGTAACCAGTTGTTTTATAATTTATCAGTGTACACCTTCAATAATTACGACCACAGTATAAAGTAAATTACGACTTCTTAACAAAAGCACTTAGATCACGAAATGAAGATCTCTTTACAATTGAACGATTGATGTAATAATGGGTAAGGATTGGAGATAAGATGAGAGTCTAGATCGCCAGAGGACTCGAAGCACAAGACTCCCAGGATTACTAGTCCGACACTCTACGAATTCACTAACGACACCCTTCAGTTAACCATGTCACCATGTGACCGCAAACATCATCGTTAATGCTCAGCTGTCATGTAAATGAAATGCACGCAAATTTCCGTTTATCACCACACAGGATACCCAAATACGTCTTATCTAGTCAATCCTAATCATACTGTACTAGAAGGAGAGGAGCATCGTTAGTCGACAATCAGACTATGATAGCTGAACATTACACTTGATAACTACACTAAAACAACGACAAAGTCAACTAATGGGTCTCTTAGCTTAACTGATAGACAGCTGGGGTAGAAACACGGACTCTGTCGGTTTAAATCTTGTCAGGTTTTCATCTCACCTACTATCATTCTTCATTAATTCAACAATTTTTTAATCTGTCAAGAGATACTGGACAGTATTTAATAAATAAATTTCAAGTTTATAGAACTGGCTATAAAATTATACCATGAAACAATAACTTTGTGGCATTATCTTCAATACTCAGGTATACAATCCATTTTTTTATCAGACTCACATTCCAACGTCCATCACCGAAATGAAGAAGGCGACGTGTAAAAAGTCGCTAGATTATTGTAACGACACAGCTTAACAACGGTCCATAAGTCCTTGTCCCATGTTATGTGGTAAAACTATTCTATAGCGGTTACCCATACAATCTAATCTACCAAACCTTAGTGAATGAAGTAAGATTCAAACTTCTGGTCGGAAAACGGAAATCTGCTCACCATTACTGATAATCATACAGAGGATCGTCTTCAACGAAAGTGGATACCTAAGCAACTTCATAACAAATGTCTACACTCAAACCAAACGGCTAATACAAATCATCCTTTGAAAATACAAGAAGAATCATCCTACCACTCAACAAGAACATCTCTGAAATCTCTGTCAGAATGCTAAAATCTTGTGGAATAGAAATGGTCCACAATCTAACAAACTTTTCATTGAATATTATTTACACCAGAAGATCTTACAAAAACAGATGATAAAACTAGCACCATGTGTAAGATGCACTGTAGCAATCATAGTGGTCAAATGAACGTTAGCTTTAGTGTTCCTCCCACCCAACATAAACTAGCGGTCAAAAGACATGGCACATATCCCCCAGTATCGATCTACGCATATGATCAACGAAGGAGAACAGTTCGACAGAAATTTTAAGCAGAGGAAGCACTAAAATGCGGGGGAATTTTCGGAGGCCTGGAACATTGCTCAGTATGTACGCAGCAGATATTTTGACATTTATCAAATAAATAAATCATTAAGGAATAAGTCAGATATATGGAACGAATAATCAAATAGCAGGTCAACGAAAAATTTAATACCGATACGAGTGAGGATAAAGACAAAAAACTCCAAAGATAACTAATCGCAATCAAAGTCATAGCGATGGAAAGCTACATCATTTTTAGGTAATTCCGAAAGACCACATTACATTTAGCAGTGAATATGTTTTCCAGAAGGACAATGTAAGCTTTGCAATTAAGCTACTCACCTTAGAGAAAATAACATCCACCTAAGCTACAAACTTTCTTTTTAGAATATATTAAATGATTGGGATTAAATTAAATTACCTTTATTACTGACAGTACCTAAATGTGTACTACATCGAGTCTCAACTATTAGCAACACCCAAGACGTTTAGCTCACTTCTATTCGTTCATTTCCTAACTCCGTTTATTTTTTATTTTAACTGATGAGCAGTGTTTAGTCCCAGTATAATGTAACTGCGGATTGAGTAGCTGGGTTCTCAGTGGGCTAATAACCAATCACTGGAGACCCTTGGTGAAAAAGCACATCTTTCCTAGTGGCGGAGATGTGCTCATTCTGTTAGTATTTTTAGATCTCGTAAATCCTCACTAATCTTCATTTAATTATTCTCCGCCGCAGTCGTAGTTTTTATCGCATTATAGTGCTGTCTCTGTTCCCTTATTTTGCGTGGTTTTTGAAGTAAAATAACTTGAACTGATATATTTCTAAGCATAGCCCTATAGTGACGTATCAATCAGTTACCTACATCTGCTTATACAGCTACGACTTCATGGATTCAACACATGTTTCAGTCTGACCACTTTTCATATTTCTCCAGCCTAAGCTCATTTCAGCTAGCATACTTAACACACTAATCGACGAAGATTCAAAACCATACCAACCGTTATATTTTCCTTACTTAACACTCTACACTTCATCTAAACATTACTTATCATGTGCTTTCATCTTAAAAGAAAAGTGGAGCAAAGACACCTATGACTTAGAACCAAGAATATCTTACATTTTCAGCAGCCAGCCAAAACCAATTCTGATTTTTCCTGAGGCCATTCAGAAAAGTTTATTTTGTTTAATGTCTTCAGCTAACAGCATTGTACAGTGAGAGCAAGTCAACCAGTACTTTTCTTGATAACAAGCCTATTTCCGAGTGACCCATGCCAAATACGGACAGTTTTGACAGTATACCTCTCTATCCTGATTCCCAATTACAATTATTACGTCAGTCGAATTGTTTTTTTAAATATGTCATTTATTGACCGTAGCGCAGAACTTTTAAACAACAAGTCGCAGATTCCAATCCTATCTAACTTTAACTTTAAGTATCGTTTGATCTCGCAATAATACGTGTGGTTCATAGTCCGACAAGTGAAAAATTTATTCTAATTTGTATGGCGAATGGTAAACATCTGGCAGACTGCTTAAGATACTAAAATAAATTTCAACGGAGTAAAAGTATGTTCAGTTTTTATTGGAAACTATTAGGAGGAAATGTGCAGGTGTCTTCAGTTGCACAAAGTTAAATTCTGGCATCAGTTTGTACAACACGCAAATTTCTAGAGGACTTTATAAAGTTTGTTCGCATAAACGTTTATAAGGTATTATTTTACACCCACAAAACTAGTGACTGTTATCATAATACAATAGCAGGGATTGACTAACCAAAACACATTATAAGACATACAATATTTGTTCCTTAGACTAATCAGTAAACAGGAGTAATACAAAGTTTGGGATACATATTTTATGATAATTCGCTTGGAGAGCAATGTCATAAGTGAAATGCGTTACGATAGAACTGTGTAGATAAAGGTGTGCTGTCATGTGATCTGGGACTGTTGCTGACATTACTTATCCATGAAATATCAAACTTTGTCTCCCGAGACATGTTCTGAATAGTAAATCTGTTTGAATTCACCTACTTGGAACATAATCTTCATGTACCAAGCAGTGAGACACATTTATTGTGTGAGAGCTGATGATACTACTCAGTTAACTAGGTTGAATTAGGTGAAGCGAGATTCGAAGCCGGGACCTATTGACTAAAAGTTGAGTGCTTGAAGAAATAAGCCACATCTCCACGACCCCTAAATTTGATGACTGTATTATTTGGGAAGCTGTAATTCTAAATCGTCTATGTATATTATCTCCAGAGCAACCATTCAAAATGAAGTTGCTGACATAACTTGTTAGAACTACATAACACTCGGTATGATGAGACTACAATATCCAAAAATTGTAATCAGATAACAAACATTCATTCTAAACAATGACTAAGAATATTTTGAAATCTACGGCGTGATGCACATTCATATGCCTGTTAAGAGCTCCAGAAACTCAATAAAAATACATCCATATGTGGTAAAGCCTATTTATAGCCTTATCTTGAAAGTACAGGATGCAGTTTAGATAAGTAAACCAGTGACTACAAACAGTTACAAAACATTTACAATAGCATAACTTACTGCAAACTAGAGTTCATTTAAACAAATACATATGATCGAAAACTGAGGATCACTAAAAGTAACCAATATTCAGTGTCTATACACAGAATTGAAAGCACAGCTCAAAAAGGTTAAATACTCTCTAAAATAAAGTAATTAGAAACAATTACTGACACAAATAACTTGAAAGATACTATTTATTCGTGGTTGTAAAGTAAGAAGAGACTAAAACAGTTGCCCCAAAAATAAGAAATACTAATGAATAGGTGCGAAACTCCATTGTGTATGTAATATTTGGTAAATAACTACTAAGCAAAGTTTCTTGGTTCCCCAGGAGGAAGTTCAAAATGTTCCCGTGCTTTATCAGCCAAAACTCTGCCTATAGCCAAAGAAGCAGTAGCAGCAGGAGATGGTGCATTACGTACATGCATAACTCTTTTACCGATTTGACTGTCACCAAAATGAATTACAAAGTCATCCACTAAACTTCCACTGGGATCAATAGCTTGAGCCCTTATACCAGACGGGCCTCTAATGACATCACTAACTTTTAAACTAGGTACAAACATTTGAAGTTGCTTTACTTGACGACCAATAAACACTGCACCCAAAAATTCGTTGACACCGTACCGTAAGTAACGAAATACAAGCTTTCGAAATCCAGGGTAAAAAATAGCATCTTTCGAGTCCTTGAAATTAAAACTGAATCTGCCATAGCCCTCTCGATCCAGCGACAAGACAGCATTCGGCCCAAGCCAAATAGAACCATTCATGCGTGGTGTGAAGTGAACACCAAGGAATGGAAAACGTGGATCAGGGACAGGATATATATTTCCTTTGACTAAAGAAGATTTCTCTGGCTTCAATACCAAGTAGTCACCTCGAAAAGGCATTATTGCTGGGTGGGGAGAACAACCAGTCTTTTGAGAAATTCGATCAGATTGTAAACCTGCACATGTGATGACATACTTACACGCAACTTCTGAAACATGATTACTGGTATTTCCTGGATTATCTTGAGCATTCCTAATCAGAACTGGATAATCCACATTTTCACTGCACTCTGAAATTGCATCTGCTTTGAATGATTTACAAACAGTCCCGCCAGATGATACAAAATTGTCGGCATATGACAAAGCTACCTTTCTCCAGTCCACTATTCCAGTTTCCGGAGAGTGAATGGCCTTCAACCCAACACAATTTGGCTCAATATCTTTGATCTTTTCACCCGGAATAACAGACACATTAGGCACATTGTTCTTTTGAGACCGATCATAAAGATCATCTAAACGAGGAAGCTCTGACTCCTTGACTGCAACAATTAACTTGCCACACTTTTTGTATGGCACACTATTGGCATCTAAATATTCATAGGACCTTTTAAGACCTTCTACACACAACTTTGCCTTCAAGGAACCTGGGGCATAGTATATTCCAGCATGAATGACACCACTATTGTGACCTGATTGGTGCATACTCAAATCATTTTCTTTCTCTAGCACAGCAAATTTGAGTTTTGGATACCGCAAAATTAGTTCACGAGCAGTAGCTAGACCTACAATTCCACCACCGATAATAGCTATGTCAAAAGTATTCACCTTCGTAGAGCTATGTCGTAGGACTGGGAGCGTTAACACATAATCCAAACCTCTTCGTCCAGCTGACAGCATAGTGACCTAGAAAGTAGAACACATATCAAATAACCCAGTGATTCTGTGTTCAATCAGATTTCAGATTCAGATTTCACATTTATTGTTTGAGGATAGAAGGCTTGGAGCCTATGTTAATCCTTTTCTAGTAAATTTCCGTGGCTGTGCAAACCCTTCTTGAACGAATCAGTTGAGGTTCCAGACACCACTTCTTCTAAGAGTCGGTTTCAAGAGTTTATGACTCGGTGTGAGTACCAGTACTCAACCGCAATATGATTTCTTCCTGGCTTTTGAACTCTCCTGCTGTGTCTTCTAAGGTGTTCCGACTTGCTGACACGTGAAAAACTCAGATAGTGCGAATTTTTCAGACTGAAAGTGGGTTTAGAACACAAACTGTCAACTGCGAAAGTACGCACCCACCGGAGTCCCAAACTAGGACGCAACAGCTGTCCATTACTCCTAGGTTTTCCACTGGTTCTCTAACTGATGTCAGATCATGATTAAATCCTCCATGCAATCAAACAAAATCCCTACAAAACCAATACTTGAAAACTGCAAAAGTGTTAATCGCCAAATATAACCATATTATTGAATATTTGAGCAGTTGGAGAAGGCACATGGCAAAGTGGGCAAAACGACGGTTAAACAGACAATTTTGGTAGGCGGATAAGTGGGTAAAATGCAACATAATTTTCCCAATATGGCGATATTTACCACCTTTTCCCGTTTTCCTATGTCCTGAAAAATTTCCACGTTCAACTTCCTAGTGTACGCACACTACCGAGTGGCTTTATTGCATAACCTGGCTAATTGTAGCGTTCATGTCCGTTGCTATGTGAGTTTAGTAACAAGTTATGTTTTTTGAATGCTTTTTAAATAAAATTTTGCATTAAAAACATTTCTGACTCACCTAATACTGAAGGCATAATGTACTTGGACTGCGTTATATTTGCTGCACTTGTATCAGGAAATGTCACTTGATACTAACATCTGAGCAGTGTGATATGTTAAATAAGGCAGGAAGTTCAAAATTTAAACGTATATTTTTGGATTTTCACGGAATCATACTGATATATTCGGCCTATCTATTGAGACGCTATTGTCTTAATTAGTTTTCGGGTTTTGGTACTCATAGCTCAATTTCAGCATTTATTTCAGCCTTCATGAACTCGTAACAGTCAACATTTCATTTTAAAGCAAAAAGAATTAATACTATGGTCATGAAACGTAGCATTTTTGTGAACTTATGTTTCAAGCGGCCTTTGCTTTGAGGGAAAATATTATTGCTACAATATTCCGATTTCATAAACATAACAGGCTTATACGTGGAGGAAATTTATTGCCTTATTTGGAATAAAAACAAGTTGTTTGGAAGGTGAGGGGGACTTACTTTTTCATTTTATTCGTATGAATACTATTGCGCATCGAGTTGCATTGCAATTCCTCATGAAGCAAGAGATTAGGAATGTCTTGCCCTCCCTTCTGCATTAGAAAGTTAATAAAGGAGGAATTACTTCCCAAGAATTCATATTAAGTTCGGTAAGGATGAACAGACGTTTTTCCAATTCAGTGTTATGAGTTTATTTGCTAACTGTTTGAGCTTTTACAGTAGTAAATTTGGCAAGGAGACTTCATTTTAAAACAAAAGTGTACATGTTTTACTTAATCTCATGCATTTCCTATACTGGTTTTATGCTCGTCAAGTGATCATTTAACAATCGCTTGGTGTTGCAATCAAGATAAAATTACAACTCATGATTGTAAGAATTGTCATTTTCATTGTCAGCAGTTCACAATCTACTGATTTTACAAAACCACAATGCCCATTTCTCACTACACTGACGAAAGATCAAATGGGTTTTTGAAAAAACAGTACGTCATTTTGTGAATTTCATGAACTCTACAGATTGCATTCTGTTCACTGAGTGCTGAAACTAAACTATGAGGAAACTGATATTTCCAAGAAGGATATAATACAAGGCTCGTTTCCACAACCGTCGAAGTTATTTTAGTTCGGTGTCATCAAACATACAATAATAAAAATTTCTGTTGTTGACTTTGGGGAATCCCCAGGGAACGGCCTAGTCAGCTTAGAGTATGCTGATGATGTTGTCCACTTGGGCTGTGAGAAGTGACCATTTAAACTGGCGTCGGTGGCACAGTGGTTAGGACTCTCGCCGACCATGCACATGGTCCGGGGTTCGAGCCCACGCCGACGCACACCTGATATCTACGGTCGGCCTGCGAATTTTGGGCTACCGATATCCATGCTGAAAATTCCACACATGTACCAAAAATACGGTGTGGAATCAAGCTGTAATCAAAATAAAAAATAAAAAAAAATAAAAAAATATATGAAAAGACTCCTGGTTTTTGATCACAGGTGTCTGTGCACTATGTCCTGAGTTAAGTAGTATAATATGAGGTTAAAAATATAGTGTTAGTTAAAGATATGACTCCAAGACATTGTCAGTGACATAGATGCAACCGCATTCTGTAGTCTCTCGGATCTAATCTACTATTATATTGTATACTTATCACTATCTGTTTTCCCCCACGTTTATGCTCATTAGAGTTCCATTTAATTTCCCTTTTCTCTACCTTTGTGTGCTACATGGAATGTGGTAACTTGAACAGGTGCACTTGTGTGCAAACTTCTGTGTTGAGAGTCAGTCAGAATGAGTTATAGACTAGGCATAACGAAATGTTAGAAAGTGGATAATAATCACCGAAATGTCAACAAATGATAATTGTATTATTTTTACTTGGTTATTGTCTAACTGAAAAAAGAGTTATCTTACAATAATTTCTCCTCTAACCCGAGATAATTCTCACACTCTGTCTCGTTATATCTCATGAGTTAGTTTATTTCATCCTATAGCCTATATGCTAAGCCGAACACATCTGATGAAATATGTCTTGCTTATTACCAGCTAAGTATAATATTTTTCAAGTGTGTAATGTAAAAAGTCGAACTGCTGCTCTTCTGTACTGAGCTCTATATTAGAACCCAGTTGGCTAGCATTTGTCACCGCAGCTACTTAGTGTCACAACTCACTATACTATTAATTGGCTTAAACAATTATTAATGCCGTTTCTTAAATACTGGACTCGTTTTTTCAATTCCTTAAATTATGCAGCTAAAGTGCCTCAAAGAATAAACAATGAACCAAGAGTCAGTAACACGGACATGAGAAATGGTGTGAGTAGAAGTGAATGAGTTGAGTGATTTTTTATCCATGTAGTACACTTAACTAAAATACTTATCTTATGCATTGTTTCCTCCTAATTCTTTCATTTTAGTCTCCCTCATTGCAAGCTGTCAGTCTTCTTACTCATTCTACAAGATGTAGTCATACATATTGTCTGCAAACAGTCTTTCAATGCATCCACCTTCCAAAAAGTTGTTGGTATGGAGCCTTGAGGCCATTCAATTCGAGCCGTAGTACAATTAGTATGCTTATATCACTGGTGCAATGAAATGCAAGACTTGTACATGTTACTTTGAATTTTCCCGTAATAACATTCCCTCCATAGTAAATACAACGCTTGTGATAACGATTCGTCATTATCTTTTCATTCCGTTGATAGGTGTGTATATATTAGAAAAAAGCCAACCTTCTCGTATGAGTTCTCTAAAATACTTTCACTAAGTGCCCATACCTCTGCTGAATACCGAGTGCTATCCATGATCCACGAAATAATTTTTACTGCATTCGTAAATAACTATCAAACTATTACTATACGGAGTAGTGAAACAGAAGGCGTATGAAATTTATGTCCTAATGTGTATTTTCAGTTACTGACACAATACATATGTACATGTTTCATTCCCAAACAAAGAAATTTTATAGGGTAATGTAAGGCTGAGTGCAGTGAGTTAATTCATTACCGTATACATCTTGCATAAGTGAAACGCTTCTACTCGATTTTCGAAGAAGCTGCAATATCTCTCTGCAGCGTTTCTTCAATGCACTCTCATAGGGAGCAATACTAGGTACTGAGGAATCCAGCCAAAAGCATCTGAGAAACAGTCGAATTACTTTTTCAACTAAAAGCGGTGATACTGATATTAAGTGTGATTTACCTGTAAACTGAAGAACCCTAGTGTAACACAACCAAATCCCGGTAGGGTATTCCTTGTCTTGTAAAATTCCTGCAGGCACAAGTAGAATTCGTGGACTGAGCATTTGTCAAATATGGAGGCCTCCCATTGAGTCACTTAGACGAAAAGCTGGCAAAATGCAATACCTTACACACATACACCTTCAGACGTAGTCATGTGTTACTTCACATGAACTCTGGGCCATATCGAGAAGGCATCCCTTTAAATTGACCCCCTGTTGTGTACTCAATTATACATATATATATACATATGTAATGACGGTGCGTTTCCTCGTTTACTTATAACTACGGAATGTACATAATAATAAGGAACACAAATGGATTTTCTCGAAACCAATGGTGCTCCTTCTCTAGTCTCAACTGGCGTCATATTGACCGACACAATCAAAAGAACAGATTGTAACCTGATGTGTTCTGTGGCTGCGAATCGTAGTTGCCTACTTTTGAATTTATATCGTCCATCTAACCTTGTTAACCTATGAATATGGTTTTTCCTTCATGGTGCACTACGCTATCTAGAAGTCAGGAGCACACTGTCTTCAGCAGGTCTAGTTTTACTTTGTGGCGGTCGCTGGTGAGTCACCTGGTGTTGTGGTAGTAGTAGAAAAATAACCTCAGAACTATTTGTTTTCTAGATAAGAAAATATTAAGTTACCTTGGCGACGATTTAACCTTTTTATCAAGAAACCCCTAGGGATATC